GCAGGAGTCGGAGATTTCAGAGGAAAGTAGGCGACTCACAGGTAGACGAGAAAGAGCACACACGTGGTGAACAAATTCTTGCCGTGTCATCCGGACACAGTGGGACACAGAAGAAGTTCAGTAACGAGGCTTCCCTAGATTTCTCCCTGTCTGCCTCGTCTAGTTTATATTATGATGCTGAACAAGTTTTTCTCTCTGAATTCCTTTAGGCAGGTAATGGCGGGGAGGGTCAGAGGTTCTTTCTGAGTCTTTTTATTTCTTAATAACCAGCTTAAAATCAATATCTAGAAAAGGATATCGATTTTCCTCACTAAGGAAGAAAGTTCGTTCTGAATGATTGCTAAGAGAGGGGGTTGGAATCTCTGTCTGTATTTGTGGACATTTTTTCTTCTTTTAATTCTGCCAGTTTTGTTGCATGTAGTTTACATGCACACACATTATAACACATTAGATTGTTATATCTTCTTGATGAATCGACTCCTTTATCATTATGTTACGTCCCTCTTTATTCCTGGTGATATTGCTTGTTCTGAAGCCTGATTTGTTGTATATTAGCGTGGCCACCCCAGCTTCCTTTTGATTAGTGTTTGCATGGCATGTCTTTCTCTGTCCTTGTTCTTTCAACCTCCCTTTCCTTTTGTCTTAACCATTTTTCAGTGTAAAGTTCAGTGGCATTAGTTAGGTACATCTGAAGAACGCTTTTTGCTGTGCAAACCTGAAACTGTCCCCAATACCCATTGCCTCCCCCAGTCCCTGGCAACTCCCATTCTGCTTCCTGTCTCCGAGTCTGACTATCCTAAATACCTCATGTCAGTGGAATAATACAATTTGTGTCATTTCGTGACTGGCTTATTTCACTTAATATTATGTTCTCAGGGTTCATACATGTTGTAGCTTGCGTCAGGATTTCCTTTCTTTTTAAGGCTGAATAACATTCCATTCTGTGGATGTACCACGTTTTGTTCATCCATTCATCTGTCCATGGACACTGGATTGCTTTTACATGTTAGCTATTGTGAGTAATGATGCTCTGAACATGGATGTCCAAATATCTCTTTGAGACCCTTCTTTCGATTGTATTAAATATACATGCAGAAGCAGAATTTCTGGAGCATATAATATTTCCATTTTTAATTTTTTGAGGAACTGCCATCCTGTTTACCTTAGTGGCTGTACCATTTTTTCTTCTTACCGGTGGTACACGAGGGTTCCAATTTCTCGACGTTCTCACCATTTCTTTTTTTATATTGAATAAAAGTGTGTTTCTTGTAGACCTTACACAAGTGAGGTCTTATTTCTTGTATCCATTCTGAAGGATCTGTCTTTTAACTGGTGAATTTGGACTATTTATATTTAATATGATTATTGATACAGTTGAATTTAAATCTATTATCTTGTTAGTTGCTGTTTGCTCTATCTGTTCTTTATTCTAGTTTTTTTCTCTGCTTTTGGATTAATTGAATATTTTTATTTTATATCCAATATTAGTTTTTTAAATATCTCTTTTTAAAATGTTTAAGTTTTTAACGAGAGAGTATAAAGAGGGTTTTCTCATAATTGGATTCATGTTCTGATAATTTTCAGTTTTCTTTGCCTAAATGTCTTAATTGGTATGACAGAATTTCAAATAAAACAAGTGACAGATAAACCATGCCTGAACCTCACTGCAAAAGACACAACTGAAGTAAGCAATTCTGCCTTTTCTAAGTTTTCTACAGTTTCAAAACAAGAAACAAAATTCTTTTATGGCATTGGTTATATCAGTTTGTGATCAAGTTCAAGAAACTAGTTACAGGATCTTGCTATTATACCTAAAACCAAAATGCTTCACACAATTATAGAATTACTTATTGTTTCAGTTTATGTGGAAATTGCACTTTGAGACTAATGAAGCAAAATAGAAAAGATCCTACCCTGAATAATGCTATTAGTATACGCATTAAAAAATTTTAAATTATTTTTGACATTCAGTATTATATTTGTTTCAAGTGTACAGCATAGCATGCACATTTCACAAACTCACATTATAGACAACATTAGTTAATAAAAATTTTTGTTTACAAATTGATAAATCTATACCCTTTTTGAAATGGTGTTTAGTTTTTAAACAAAATATTGAGGATAAAATATTTAAAGTGATAAATGAATAAGGTATTCACAGACACATTGCTTAAGTTTGTGTATTATTGATGGTCATGTGATGGTTACTATGACAAGAAGGTGTAGACTTTAGCATCAAAGAGTTTCATGCTCAAAAACCTGAGATTTAAGTAATCCTTTTATTTATGGGGAAGCTCACATATAAAAGTTGTGCTGGATCTAGACTGTACATTAAATGATGTTATCAAAATGCTAAATCCCATTAAATCAGAGCCACTCTAATCCTTTCGCTTTCAACTTTGCATGTGACACAGTGGGATTAGAATACTGCTCTGTTGTTTGAAACTGAAGTGCATTGGCTGTCCAGAGCAAAATTTTAATAGTTTATGAATTTAAAAAGAGAATCCAAAGTTTATGCAGAAATGATTCTTGATATGTTCATTGACAGATAATTATTGACTTTAAAAAATGCCTTTCCTTAATTGACATTTTAAAGACAGAAGTGAATTTAATCGAATTACTGGGACTTCAGTGACATCATTTATGGCTTCAGAAAGTCAAGTTATAAATGAATCACTAGTGATACTTAGCCTTTCTTACTTCTTTAGAAGTCAAATTTTATTAAAATTAGTAGTGTAACATCTATTCATGCTTAGTAGTGTAACATCTATTCATGCTTGAATCAGATTTCATTATTTTGAAATAGTAGATAAGAAAGATATGATTTAGGAACTTATTAGCATAATCATGAGAAATTTAAACATTTGTTTTAAGGAAAGGAATCGAAGAAAAAGCTCTTTCTACTGTATGATGGGACCTTTTATATGATGGGTCCACCTAGCATTTGAAAAGATCATTGTTTAAAAATCTTGATCAGGAATTACGGTAGGCGTTAAAATAGGAAACCTCGTATAAAAAAGTTAGGCACGTGGAAGCCGGCTCAAATTTATCATTAACATTTTTGGAAAGATTTTATTTAGAGCTCTATACAAATTCAATATTTATTATCTTTCCAAATCTTAGTACTTTGTTTTAACTTGTAACTATGTAATATAAAGAATATGTAGTGAATGTTTTCACCGAACCCTTGTATAGATGTTACCCGTCCCGCCCAACATTCCTTGTGCTGGACAGATGTTGTTATTATTTTTTCTTCTGGACACTTGCCTAGAAGGTCTTGTTCCTGGGCTTATCCCCTCTGTACTTTGTAGTAGAACCGAGCTTAAAATCTATTCTGGTCTGGTTTTTTGTATCGACTTGCCTTAAGCCTCTGTGCTACCACTCTGTTACATCAAAGCCTTTCGGTGTTGGACTTGAGAACTGGGGATGGGATGGCTTTCGATTTTTCGAAGTTCTAGATGTATTTGCTTTGCGTATATTCTGTAATCGTGGTAGCCGCACAGCTTGGTCCGTGGGGGAAATTAAGAAGAAATAATGATTAAAAAGGCCCATGACTTTCATATTTGTAGTGCAGGATAGGAAAAGTGGGAGAAGGAGAGAGTATGACAAAGACGAAGATAGAAGGACTGTATTTCTTACTGTGTGTTTCTTTTTTCTTAGTAAATTTGTTGGAGAGAGGTAGACAGTGAAGGAGAGTTTGAAAGGTGAGCTTGACCATTAAGTGGCTTGAATCATAGTACATTTGGCTTTTCAAATTTTCGGTTGGGGAAAGACTATATGTATTAGTTGAGAATCTTTGTTTGCAAGCAACAGAAATAGATTGACTAGGCAAAAGAAAGGTCGGAAGGTTGCTCACTTGGACTTGAGAAAGAAGTCAGCCGGGGCAGCTGAAACGCGCGTGTGGCCTTCCTTCCTGAATATGGTCATGAAATGGTCCTTTTCCAGGCGTTCTCTTCTTATCTTCTGATTGGCCAAACTCCAGTCTTGGGTTTGACCCTGTGGTGGTGGGTGTTGGTGCGAATAAGCAGCAGCCATTACACTAATTGATTTCCAATTGATTTACATTTACCCGATTGTGCTCATATGTCCGTATGAGTCTCTTAGAGACTCTGTTACAAAAGACTTTGAAAGCAGAGCTGCTACTCTGCCTACTTTTTTTTCCTACTGAGCTGTGTATGGACTGGGAGCTCAACTTATTGCAGGCCCTTTGGTACTATTTACTACATTTTTCTGTATTTTTTGGCTATTCACCTACAATTTTGCCTATGCTAGATTATCATTCTTAATTTCAGGTTATGTTTGAAAATCGAGAACCAACCTGGTTGTTCTCTAAAGATGATAATGTCCGTGACCACAGAGAGGAACTACCTCCCTTAGCTAACTCAGGAAACATGTCTGTGTTTTTTGTGCCAGCAGGGCTAAGTGTAGTTTGGTTGACATAGTTAACCACAGTGATCTGTGAAGAAGCTGTACTTAACCCAAGATGAGGCCCATACTCACAATCTTTGGTCAAGAAATGTGACTTCATCTGTCTGATAATAATAAAGCCATTTTATTTAAAAATGGAAATCTAATCTAATCTGACCTTATTTATTGTTCTTAGGAATTATTTTGGGACATGATTTGGAAATGGAGATATATGGAATAGTTGAAAGGGTTATAAGACTTGAAATCAAAAGACCTGATTTGAGTCGTATTGGCTGTATAACCTTAGATAAATTGACTTTTTTTTATACTTCCTTTTTCTTACTAATGAAAGGGACATAACGGCACGTGTTCAGTTCACCTCCCAGAGATGTGAGAATAAAGTATTTACTTTCGGTAAGACTGTTTGTTACTGAGCTTTAATTTTCTAATCTGTAAAATGAAGGGAGTCTTTTCTAGCTCTAAATTTTTAGATTTTAATTTTTCTTTTTTTGTTTTCAAAACAACTGACAGAAGTTTCTAGGAGTGTTTTTCCCTGTACGGTACTCATCATAGAACATTTTCCCATTCCCCAGGCAGTTACAGTGGTGCAGAATGGCCGACCTCAGTCTTGCAGATGCGTTAACAGAACCACCTCCAGAAATTGAGGCCGAGATTAAACGGGACTTTATCGCCACACTGGAGGCAGAGGCCTATGATGACGTCGTGGGAGAAACTGTCGGAAAAACAGACTACATTCCTCTTCTGGATGTTGATGAGAAAACCGGGAATTTGGAGGCAAAGAAGAAACCATGCCCAGATACTAGCCAGGTTGAAGGTAAGTAACTAACCCAAACGGGATATATAGGTTCAGAAAATAGATTGGGGATTATGCTTTGGGTCGTAATCTTGGAAACCTTGAGGAAACTGAACTGAGGCTAGTAACTTTCTCTTTATCTGAATTTCTTTATTCAAAACCAAGGACGTAGGTTAACATTACCCTTTAGTAGAGTGTGTGTTTATGAAGCTGTGGATTACTTTTCATCCTAAAATTTCTTCTGTAATATCTCAACATCTGTATGATCTGCTTATGAATTTCCTAAATTAAATTGTTTGCTGTGTCTTTTCTTTGAAAGTAGGTTTGGAAAGTTAGATACATAAAATTCTGCATTTACATCAAGACTTAATTTAGAATGGAATCAGATGCCACTTGTCTTTGAAAATAATCCCAGGTCAGGATTAAAACATGATTAAACCCTTTAAAAGAGATTTGCTGCTTTTACATGTTGCTGGTTCAGCTTTGTTAAGATAGGAGGATTTCTGCATCTGTGTTCATGTGGGATATTTGTCTATTGTTTTCTTGTGATGATTTTGTCCAGTTTTAGAATTGAGGTCATGCTGACATCATAAAATGAGCTGAGAGGTTTTCTAGAATAGAAATTGTGTAGAATTGATGTTTTTTCTTCAATGTTTGTTTGAGAGACTTTGTCAGTGAACCATTCTGGGCCCAGAGGTTTCTTTGTTAGGTTTTTAACAAGGAATTCAAATCAATTTCGTTTAAGGGATGTCAGAACTATTCGGATTGTCTCTTTCTTCTCAAGCGAGCTTTGGTAGTTTGTATCTTTCAAGGAATTGGTCTGCTTCCTCTAAGTTGTCAAATTAATGGAAATAAAACTGTATTTATCACCTTGTTATTTTAATGTCTATAGGATCTGTTGTCATGAATCCTCTCTTTCATTCATTATGTTGGTAATCTGTGTCCTCTTTTTTTTTTTTTGATGAGTCTGGATAGAGTTTGTCAATTACTGATCTTCTAAAAGATCCAGCTTTTGGTTTCATACTTTTTTTCCTATTTTTCTATTTTCAGTTTCTGCTCATATCTTTAATATTTCCTTTTGCTTACTTTGAGTTGAATTTTTCTTTTTCTGTTTTTTTAAATTGGTAGCTTAGATCATTGATTCGAAACATTTCTTTTCTAAATTAAACACTTTTAAAATTGATATAATTGACATACAACATTAGATTCAGGTGTATGACGTAATGATTCGATATTTGTATATATTGCGAAATGATCACCCCAGTAAGTCTGGATAATAACGATGCTTCACTACACAATTCCAACTGTTTTTGCCTTGTGATGAGAACTTTCCCTCTTAGCAGCTTTCAAATATACGATACAGGATTATTAACTGTAGTCACCACGCCGTACGTTACACCCTCGTGACACTTATTTTATAGCTGGAAGTTTGTACCCTTTGATCACCTTCACCCATTTTCCCTACTCCCCAACTTCTACCTCTGGCAACCACCTAAAATAAGCTTTTAATGTTATAAATATCCCTCTAATCATGCTTTTAGATCTGTTCCATAGATTTTGATATGCTAGGTTTTTTATTTTCATCCTATTCAAAGTATTTTCTAATTTCCCTTGTGAATTCCTCTTTGACCCATGGGTTATTTAGAAGTATGTCGATTTCTTAATATTTGGGGATTTTCCAGATGTCCGTCTGTAGTTGATTTTTAGTTTAATTCTGTTGTGGTCAGAAGACATCCCCTGAGATTCCAGTTCATTTCAGTTTGTCAGGGTTTGTTTTATGGTCCAGAGTCTGGCCCGTCATGGTCAGTGTTCTGTGAGCGCTTGAAATGATGTGTATGACACCATTAGTGTGTGAAACACTCTTACCAACGCCAGTGACGTCTGTTGGTTGATAGTGTTTGTTTTCTGTATCTTTGCTGACTGTGTATCTCTTGCTGTAGTGATTTCTGAGAGAGATGCTGAGGTCTCCATGTAATTTTTTAGGATTGTGTCTTTCTCCCTTCAGCTCCATCAGTTTTTATTGAATGTTATTTTGGAGATCTGTTGTCATGTGCATATCCTTTTAGATTGTTACGTCTTCTTGATGAGTTAACCCTCATATTGTTTGTTCTGAAGTCTAATCCTGGTCGTGTATTAGTAGGAGCTGCCCTAGTTTCCTTCTGATGACCGTTTGCGTGACATACCTGTCTCCTCTTGCTCTCAGCACAGTTCCTTTTAAGTATTTAATAAAAGTGGAGTTTTTTATATACAAAATATGGACGAGTCTTGCTTTCTTATCCAATCTAAAGACCACTGTCTTTTAATTGATGTGTTTAGACTATAGTTAATGTGTTATCGATATGGTTGGATTTAAGTCTGTCACTTTAGTTGCTTTTTATTCCATCTGTTCTTAATTCTGGTTTTATTTTTTTTTCTGTCTGCTTTTGGATTAATTGAATATTTTTTATGATTCTATTTTTAAGTCTAATATTGGCTTATGTATATTTCTCTTTAAAATTGTTTCACATTTGACCTAGAGTTTACAGTGTACACCTTTAATTTCTTCCAATCTGCCTTCCAGTAATATTATGTACGGTGTAAAATTCCATGCAGAACAATGTCCAGTTCCTCTTTAATCTTTTGCATTGTTGTCTGACACACCGAATGTTAGTAACCTATGTGGTTACTTTCTTTGATTCATATTGTCATCTTTTAGAATGAATAAAAATTTGGAAAAACGCCCTTTACATTTACTCTAACTTTGACCATTTTAGGTACTCTTCATTTCTTTGTATAGAAATGGTTAAGAGTCAGTCATCTCAGTTTTGGTTTATTTGAAAAACGAACCTTCACTTTCAGAAGATACTTTTGCTGGGTGTCATATTCTGTGCTACTTTTTTCTTTCACTAATAATTTAAGGGAAAATTAGTCTTCCTACTTGCATAGTTTCTGATAAGAAGTCTGTTATAATCTCGATCTTTATTCCTTTTTTTTTTTCCTTCCTGTCTGCCTTCAGGTTTTTATCTCCATCTTTGGTTTTTAGCAGTTCGAATATGTTGTGTTTAGGTCACGTCTTGGCATTTGTCCCGCTCGGAGTTCTCTGAGCTTGATCTCTGAGCTTGGAGCTCTCTTGTGCTTTAATGTGGTTCATTAAGTTTGGAAATTATTTGGCTGTTATCTTTAAAAATATCTCTTTGCTTAGATTCTTGGATGTTGTCCCACAGTTCTTGGGTGCTCTTTTTTTTTTTTCCTCCCTCTTTTTCTTCTCTTTATGTCTAATTTGATGTACTTTCTTTTAACTCGCCTTCAGGTTCCCTGATTTTTTCCCTGGCTGTGTTGAGTCTAATGAAGACCGCTCAGTGACATTCTTTATCTTTAATATCTTCTCTTCTTCATTTCTAGCATTTCTCTTTGACTCTTTATTTTCCACCTCATCTATTCATGCATCTTTCTGTCTTTCACTGTAGATATTAACATATCAATCGTAATTATTTTAAATCTCTGTCTCGTAATTTGAACATCTGGGTCATCTCTCAGTCTCATCGTTTTATCTCTTGGTAATGTTTTTTTTCTTTCTTTCTCCCCTGGCATTTTGTTTCTGTGTCTCTTAGTTTTTGAGTAAATGCTGGACCTCACATGTGAAACAGTAGACACTGAGACGAGAAGTATCTATGCCTGGAAATACCTTTATTATTACTTGGTCACTGACATAAAGGGTTGAGTTGATGTAGGCAGGCGCTGAGCTAGGTTTGGGTGTTATTGTTTCTGTGTTTGTCTTCAGTGCACTGCAGGTTCCAAGTTCCTCCCTTCCTCATAGTTAGACTGGGGACCGAGGTGCTGGAAGGCTTTGCTCAGTGCTCTTGCTCCACTCTGAGCTTTTTCCCTCCTCTGTGCACCTGCGCCTCAGAAAGATGTGTCTCCAGGCTCTTGTCCCCCACTTCTCAGAAGAGTTCCGCCTGGCAGAGGGCAGGGTTTTTTTTTTTTACTTTCGCGTTTTGGTCCTGGTGTAAGCTCAGTCCTGTGTGCGTGCATCTCATGGTTTGAGTCTCTCCCTCGTACAGTGATGGGGTCTTCTCATGGTCTTGGTGTGGAATCCTGGGCTGGGATGTTTTCTTGCTCCTCCCCTAGGCGAAGAGGGCATTTCCTTATTCCTCCTTGCCCAGCTGCCCTGGGTCTTCCCGTGGGCCCTGGGGCTGACTGGGGTTGAGACTCTTCCTCCAGCACCCGAAAGGGGAGCACGGTCCCCTGGGGACAGGGCAGCTCTCCCTGGTCTCCCGCCCCGCCTCCAGTTTTTCCTGGGAGCATCTATCTGGTGGTCATCTTTGGAGACAGACCCGCACGTGGGTGTGAGCGCCCCTTGTGTCTGTCGATCCCGGGACCCCGTATTCTCAACGCTGGCCTTCACTTAGCCTTCAGCGAGTCACGGAAGTGTTTGGTTGAATTTTTCTTACCTGCATCGGTGGCACCAGCATCTCTTCCTCACGTATCTGACACAGGAGAGCCAGCGCTCACGTCCCCGGTCTCCTCGAGGGGATTGTCTTTCTTTGGATTTCATACTGCTTAGTGCCTCTAAAACCCCAGCTTTCTGGTGAGTTTAAGATATGATTTCGTATTCGATCTGGCTTTTTTGTTATTGTTGTTGATGGGATAGGAGTGACATTTAAAAATAAGGAGGACTTAGTGGGAATAAAGGAAATGGTAAGGAGCGAATATTTTAGTAACTTGAGCCATGGCTGAGATGCTCTCCCCTCGCTGGTTAATGTACCTTCAGCAGTCGCAGGTGGAAGAAGCTGGCTGCTTGTCATTTTCTGCTTTTCTTTAGCCGTCATGGTTTCCATCACCGGGCTCGGTTTAGGCAGGTGGCAACGGTGGCTTTTCTTGGGCTTCGTCTTGGTGACTCGATCTGTGTACCATTAACTTGACCCAAGAGGAGGAAAGTTTTTCAGACGTGATTTTGCTCATAAAAAGTTATCGAATTTTCCCTGCTAATAGTTTAAAATATGTGAATAGCCTGTAATTAAGAGTTTATGGACTCAGGAAGG